AGGGGGGGTGCGGGGCCGAGCCCGCCTCGTCCTCCCTTTCTCTCAGCATCCTCCGGTGATCCTGGAGGTGATACAGGCGCAGCAGCATCCATGGCCTGCCCTTAGCCTCACCACTTGCTTCTGGGGCTTTTTTTCCTGTTTTTTTGGTTTTTTTCCTTCTAATTCTGGCACGAAGTGAGCCAAGCATCGCAGGCATTCGATTTGAGGGCTCGTGTTGAGGAGCTGGGAACCAGGATCATATTCTCCAGTATTTTTTCTTTTTTTTTTTAATTTATTTTTATTTTTTTAAATTTTTTTCAGGCTCCTTGGAAATTGAGGAATGCAAGTCTGCCACCATGATGGAAGGTAGGTGATGAGCCGAGCGTGTCTTTCGGGATGGCTTTGAGTTTGGAAAGGGATGGGGGGGAGGAAGGAGGATGCTCTGAAGCGGCGCGTGCGAAAGCCTTTTCCTTTTTAAAAATGATAATAATAACGGTGATGATAATCATAATAAAAATGAAAATAAAATCCTCCCCTCCCCCTAATCCCAGTCGAACCAAAGCACCCTGCCCACTGCCGGCGAGCTGGCGGATGGGGATGGTGATATAATATCCAGCCCATCGGATCCTTTGCAATTCCACCCCCAGCCCTGTGCGGGCAGCTGGGGGGGGGGATGCAAACACCCCGTGTCCCCCAGCCCAGGAGGGAGAGGGACCCCAGGTTGGGATGCATTTGGTCGGCACGAAGGTCCTTTAAGTGTTATTTCATCCTCTGCTTGGAAACCCACTTTCCCAGCCTGCCCTGATGCAGGGAGGATGAGTTGGAGCCTTCTCCGTACCCGCAGACGGGGGGGATGCGAAGCCTGGCCCTGACAGATGGGGTCCCATGGTTTTATGGTGTAGCTCTGGGGATGAGCATCTTCTCATTCCCCACTGAGCATATCTGAATTTAAGGTTTGAATTCTTGGCCATGTCGTGCCACTGGTTTGAAGATGCAGGCTCCGGGGAGGAGGTGTGTGTGGGGGGATGTTGGATTGAGGCTTATTGGAATAAAAAAGGAAATGAGAAGGAAATATGGGCTCCAGGCACAAGATACTTCAGGCGAGAAGCGTTGCGAGACTGTGTCTGATCGTGTGTGGGAAAAGCCCCTGGGCATTTCTTAAAAGAAATTTTAACCCATGTCGTTTGTCTCAGCCATATGTAAAATGCTTTTTTTTTTTTTAATATCTTCTGGAGCAATATGCAAGGAAAGGAAGACTCTTTAATTTCATGTGTGTGTATATATATATTTTTTTTTTTTTAATAGCAGGATAGATACTTCAGGGTCAACAAGATGAAAATATTCTGTATTTTTTTTCTGGCCCTTTGGTCAGGGCAGAGCTGCATCCGGCGCCGGGCTCGCGGCGCTGCCGGCATGCAAACCAGGCAGCATCCCGGCCTTCCCGAGATGACAGGCAGAAATTGGGGCTGCCTCTGGCTGTGTCCCTGCAAATCCTCGTCTGCTGCCCCGTCCAAATTAAGCCAGAGAGGTGTCGGGCTCCGTGTAACCAGGAGGTCTTGTGTTGACTTAAAATATTTTGCCTAATCTCGGAAATCCCTGTGCTGTGATGGCCGTGTGTGAGCACGCAGGAAGTGCTGCTTGTGATTTATTTTTGATTTATTTTGATTTATTTTTGGATTCCTTGGTGTTAAGGGAATGGGTGGCGTTGTCCTTCGGTACGAGGAAGTGCCTTCCATGTCAGCTCGAGGGCTGATGGTGAAGTCTGAAGCGAAAGAGATTTAATTTTAGGCCGTGACATCAAACTCATCGCAGCGTGTTCACATACATGACACCCTGGGAACCAGGCACACAGCCCGTGTGAGAGCGGGTGGTTTCAGAGAAGGTGGCCTTCACGACCCCTTTTCCCCCTAAAGTAGAGGAATTAACCTAGATAAATCAAAGTTGGCCTGATGGAATTCTTGGTTTGGGCTATTTAACTAGTTTTGAGGCTGTTTTGGGGGCGGGGGAAGATGGTTGGGTTTTTTTGTTTGTGTGAGGTTTTTGGGTGAGTTGTTTTTGGTGTTTTGGGATTTTTTGGTGGTGGTTCTTGGATTTTTTTGTTGTTTTTTTTTTTTTCCTTGAGGATTTTTGCCTTGCTCATGAAATACCCGGGATGTGCTGCTGTGCTGGAGCCTCAGCCACCCTGGCCCAGGCCAGGTGGGTTCTGCTGGGGGGTCCCCAACCCCACAGCAAGGAGGTCGCCCAGGGCTGGGGCAGCTGGGTCATCGGGATCTGTCGGAGGCAGAATCATCTTTCAGGAGCCAGTCTTGCAAAAAAACACCCAAAAAATTAAAAAAAAAAATCCTAGCCACAAAAAGTTTCCCCATTGCCTGTGATGTGAAACTGCTTCACGTGTTCCCCAACTATTTAAGGCGCACAGGAACCTAGAATGGAAGCGAGAAAATAGCATTAGAAGAAATAATTACTGCTTCTGATGAGTTTTTAAACGGTTGGGAAGTGGTTCTGTGCATGGAATAGGGAAATTTTTTGCGACCAATATCCTCCCGAAGCACTGACGCCTTGCAGAGATGCTTTATTTTAATATAAGGATGCTCTCAAATGTGCTTGGGTTAATTTGGTCTGAAACTTTTAAACCTGCACAAAATGCCTGTAGTTCCCTGCAGCAAACCTGTTAGAGGATTTTCATTAGTATTCTAATTATTTAAATCACTTGTCTTGTTGGACGCTGTGCTGGAAGCTGATGGTGGAGCTCAGGGAGGAGCTGGGCTGTGCCCCCCTGGCACGTGTCCGTGTCACCCCCGGGGGGCAGGACATGGGGCCACCCGGCATCACCCACAGCCAGTGGGATGGACCTGTCCTGGTTGATGGTTTTGGGTCTCTTTCTGTGGAAACAAGAGAATTTGGCTCCTTGGGAATGATGAAGGACATGCAATTTATACTAGTTTGTGCTGAACCCAATGTGGAATATTTTCTCATTCTCATGGCAGATGGGGAGAAAAAGTGCCTATTTTTCACTATAGGCTTAAAAAACCACAATGATGTATATCTAAAAAAACTACCTGTGGACACTGTCTCCAGAGATGAGACCAGCCCTCGCTGGGAGAGCTGAACATGTGCCACATGGTGTCTCAGGTGCCACCAGCAGTGTATGGTCCTCCACCTCCATGGCATGGTGGGATGTGATGGGCACAAGTGTTGCCGTTGCTCACCATCCCTGTTGGGGATGGTTTTGCTGCACTTGGTCTTGCTCACGCAGGTGGAAAGTAGGTATTTGGGGATGGGGACTCAACCCCCCCAGCTTTGAACTGACAAAAATAACCCGTGGCAAAACTGTATTGTGTGGTTGGACTAAATCTGGGACCCAGAGTGCTGCTGGAAAGGTCCCACCACATGTTGATAAGGTCTCTGCATGGGTGGCAGTAGATGTAAGAGGTGTTTAGGTGTTCCCTTTGATTGTAAAACAACTCACCGGTACTCAGAAATGGACTGGGCACGTCGCTAAGGTAAACATCCGTGCGCAAGAACGAGTTTATCTCCTTTTTTTAATCCATCTGTTGCGTCTCCGATGGTCTGAAGGTATTTTGTACAGCTTAATTAGGTTTTGAAATCACTGCTGCAACGTGGCACTCAAGCCAGGAGCTCTGAGATGTTCAGAAAGATTAGAGGATCGTTTGGTTGATGGGAACAGCCGTGGTTACGTTAGAGAAGGTTGTTTCTTCTTCCGTGGGAGATGGTACCTGCATTTTTCCAGAGCCCAAGCTAGATGTTTGCTGGGGAGAAGCTTTCCCAGAGCGGAAATTTCTCTGTACCTCTTGTCTCCAGGCTTTTTTGCACCTGTTTCTGGGGACTTTGGTCAAGCTGGGAACTTCCATGGATGACTGGTCGCATCCAAAACGGCAAAAACTTCTCTGCATCATCTTTTAGCAATGGATGTCTTCAGGCCTTATGTTTTCATTGTGCTTAACGGATAGTACTGGGACCAGAGGCATCTAATGGCACATAAAAAGGCCTTTTTCTTGATTAGGCAAGAAAATTAGCTTTATCATATTTTAGGTGGTCACGTTTCAGTAGCTGGAGTATCTCAATGGGCTTAGTGTTGGCCGTGTGACTCGGCAAGGAAATCACCTGGTAGAAACATTTGGGCTTTAATTGAGAAAGCCAATAACAGGTTTAAGGCAATTAACATGAATGAAGGCACGGATGGAAAAAACATCCCAGAAAATACATGAGGACCATAATTTCCATCAAATCAGGACGTGTATTTTCCAATGTGTTGTTTGAGCTGGGGCTTGCAGAGAGGCTTGGGGCTTGGAGGAGCATCTCCAGCTGTGTCCTGAGATGCAAGGGGGACTTCTTCAGACCTGCGGGAGCTGCTGCATAACTGACAGGACTGGCGCTGGTGGGGGAACTATTTTATTTTTTTAATGAATACAAGAGATATTATGTTTGACCCTTCTTTTCTGCCCTGCGTGGCACGGTGCGATGCTGTCCTTGAGCCAGTGGCTCGGCATCCCCTTGTGGCTCAGGGCTGAGGACATTTCACCTATTCTCAAACTCAAAGGTGTCCATAAAGCCTTTTGGGGGGTTTATTTTGAGGGCTGATCGTGCCCACAGGTGCTGCCTGGGTGGGAAGACTGAGGTTTTGAGCCGCTGAGGATGCGGCACGTGAAAATGGGGGTTTGGGAAACGAAGCATTTCCAGCAGAAACATCAAGGAGCTCTTTAGCTCTTGGTTTTGGGGGCTCAGAACGGGGGATGTGGTTAGTGTGTCCAGCCCAGACCTGCTCTGGGGAGCACAAAATGCTCCTGTGCTTCATCATGGTGCTTCCAGCGACGTCTCGGGCACTCCGGGTTGGAGCTGGGCTGGCAAAACTGGACCCAAAGAGCATCCCTCTCCATTTTGAATGAACTTGCTTAGGAGTCCCACGGTCAGGCAGCTGAACAGGTTCCAGTAGCAACCTCCAGTCTAAGGGGAGGGTGAAAAAAATAAATCCCTTTTTGCATGCATCCAAGCCCTTCCCGCTGAGCTGGTTTGAGTTTTTCCAGCTCTTGTCCACCGGCGCCGTGTTCCTCCATGCTGAGGGAGGGGAGGGAAAGGATAAATGGCTCCAGCTCTAAACCAACAACCAAAGGTCCCACCAAGACTCTGGGAATTTGGGAAATATTTCGTATTTGGGCTGGTGGCACTTAGCAGTTAGAACCCATGTGGTGCCAGAGTGGTGGTGTTGAGGATTTAAACCAAAATATGAGCGAGGCAGAAGAATCTGCCCATGCCTCCCGCCTAAAATGATCCATGGGATGTAGTGGCTGAAGCAAAACCCAAACGTGTTTGGGTTGGTTTTTTTTGGGGGGGGGTGGGGGGTATTG